TAATTAATACCATTAAATTTACCTGAAAGTATCTCCTGTGCGGTCTTTAAAGTAAAAAAAATTATGTTCATCCCGTATAAGCACATCACCTATATTTTAAATAAATAAATACCTATTTAAATATATTGTTAACATGTTTTTAATTTTTTTAATTAATCTTTGTTTTTAATTAAAATGAGTACTAAAAAATTACCAGAATTGAATACTCTGTCTCCTTTACTAAAAACATCTTTGATGATTTTTTTCTCAGAAGCTGATTTTTCTACATAACCACTAAACGAATTCTCAGTTGTTCTTATTATTTTTCCAACCAATAATCCAGGCTCTCCTATATAGTTAAGTAAATTGTGTTCAAATATAGTTTAAATGCTTAAGTATATTGTAAGAAATATAATAAAACTATTTCTTATGCTTTTGATGATATACAATTAAATAAAATCAAAATCTTACCAATTTTACACTTAATACAAAGATTATTTTCTCCTCGAATAGGCTCATTAGTATCTGGGTCAACACGAATCAACGTGACAGGATAGAATGGTTCCCCGATAAATGGGATGAATCCTACAGCACCGACTTTATTTGTAGCGTTTACTAAAAAACAACAAATATTATATCTTATAAACTTTAATGTTGGAAACATTTATTAATTAGAAAAGATCTTTTCTTTACTAATCTAAGGCCAAAAATATTTTTGACAGACTATTTAAATTAATTTTTACTATTGAATTGACATTAAAATAAAAAAATAAAATAAAGCTATTATAGAAGTTGGAGAAAGAGGGTGCTTCATATAGGTATGTCACACCTTTGGATTGTAATAATACAATTAAAAACAATAAATTATTGGATTTTAATATCAATATTTACTGAAAAGAACTTAAATTTGAATTAAATTATTTAAATTAATATGTTCTGTAATTTCTGCTTATACTTAGGAGTTAGGGAAAGTAAATGTATCATTATATCTTAGTAGAAGGTATCTGTTAAAATTTTTAATATATACTATATGAAACTATGAGAAACTTTTGAAGTACTATGGTTTTTAGTCTATATATAGCACTGATAGCAGTATAACCCAAAAATATTATTAAAAAAATGAATTAAAGAAGAAAAACCATTAAAAAAATCAATAAATTCATAACAGCTCAGAATCTTAGAACCATAAAATTAATAATCCCTGAACCTTGTTTTCAGTTTAAAAATATGATGTCAAATTTTAAGATGAATTTTTATGTAGGTACCTATCTAAAATCATTATCATTAAAATTTAAAATAATATTATTTAGGTTAAAAATGACAAGTGATTGCTTATCAAGTAGGTACCTATCTACCTTCCCAATAGTAGTTTTTCAGACAATTCTTATATTTTTCAAATAAAAGCTCTAAGTTAAATATTGTATTTACTCATATTAGCATTTCCCTCTGTGGCTCCATAGAATTCTGCTACTTTTTTTATATTAAATCGTTTAACAAAATCGTTCCATATCTGAGGTCGTAGTCCATTTCCCAAAATCAATCTGACCTGATGAGTTTTGTCAGTCTCAGATGGAGGTGAAGCCAAACAATAACGACACATCTCACCAATATACTGTGCAACCTTTAATAAAATATTGAATTAGAATGTATACCGCTTGGATAATAATATTTATTGTAAAATATTAAAATTATAACATATTAAAAGTGTGATTGTTGAACACAAAAGTAATTGATTTAAGTGTACACACATTATTTCATTGAAATTCAACTTTAATTGACATTTTATTTCATAAGAATTAAAATTCAAATGTTTGAATAGTATACTGTCGTGTTCCAATGGCGGGAATTTGGCTATTTAAGTCGGGATCTAGGTATGTTTGTGACACAAGACTAAAATTGCCTTGCCACATAAAACCACTGCCACATTATTTATTTATTTTTTGTCACACCTCCGGAAATGTTAATCCATAATTAATTATTCTAGCCATTGTTGGTGTCTAGATTCTCTAAACAGTTTTATTGAACAGCACAGGAGTTATCCACACATTCGATTAGGTATATAGTATTTTATATACCTACCTACCGATACAGCGATACATGTATGTACCTACTTATAGTAGTAGGTACCTACCACATATTATAATATTTATTTGATTTGGCCAATAACTTAGTATTAATTTGATCCATTTATTGAAAATAATTAGTTAATAACAAAAATATGAATACGTAATAAATCTATACTTTCACAAGTACATCTAGACTCTCTAAATAACTACTAGCTACATAAAATATATCTATATAGGTAGATACCTACGTTATGCGTCTAAACATAGCTTGAACTAAAACAAACTAAATGGGTACTCGTTAGAAATTCAATTTTTTTAAATTGAAATATTCCCAAAAATATTCTATTTTGGAATACGAAATTAAAAAGATAAGCAGATACCTAAGATATGTACCCTACTACCTACCTACTTCTGTAATTTAGACATAAAATGGGTGATTATTATAGTTGTGTTAAATCTGAATTCAGAGATACATAATAATTGTACCTATATAGTATATGATATGTCCTATACAAAAAAGATTCTGAGCAGAAACAATCTATCAGCCTATATATAATTATCAAGTAGGTACCTAATATGTTTTTTTTATGTAGCTATTAAAATCATTTATTTTACTATTGGTTTTATAATAGGATAATATTATTTTTTTTCCAAAAATATTGCATTTATTATATTATTAGTGTTTATTTTTTTTTTAATAAAGCATATTTATAACATAATATTATATCAACTTATATAACTTAAAATGTGAAGACATCTTTGTGTAAATAAGTATCATAAAACAATAAAAATAGATTCATAATAGGTACACCTATAAATAATAGATAATAACATTTTTAATATTTGTAATCAAATATAAGAATAACTTTTATGGGATCTTGTATTATATTTCTAAGAATTTTGGTTCAATGAAAATGTTTATATTGACATTTATAAAAAAACAACATAAAAAAAATGTTATTCCTATAAATAATCCAAAACTAATTTAAATAAATTGAAAATGTTATGGTTAATAGATAACGAAAATTTAAATTAGGTAGGTACCTATCTATGGTTATTCGTTTTCGAGTTACAAAAAATAAAATAAAATCTATTTTGTCGAAAATTTATCTTTTTCCTTAATTTTTGTTTGTTTTCCCTGATATAAAAATAAGTACTTAAAATTTTCAAGTTTAACCTCTTTAAAATACAAACTAGATCCAATTTTACATACAAAACCAACCCCATTTTTTCGACAACTTATTCGTGTACTTGTCTACAAAAAAAATACATATCATTGTAAAATCAATACATTCAACCCTTCGCTCAGAATCTAAAATATATGATGTAAAAAAAGTAAAAAATGCATACAATTAAGATAAATAATATTTTTTTTAAAGTTTGAAATAATGAGTGTAGACACTTTAATAAATCAAAGTATATCTCTACTTACTGTACATTCATATTTAAAGCAATCAGTCCAATAGTTAGATGCTGAAAATTTGGACCTTATGACACACGTTGAACCTCCTAAAAGTACAGAACTAACACCCAGTATGCCGCCAGCAGTGTGATACAATGGTAACGGAGTATACACGACGTCATGTTCAGTTATTCCAGCTACGTATTTAGTGCCCATTGCCATGTAGATAGCTCTGATGAGTTTGGTAAAAATGAGATATTTTCAAGAGTAATAATATTAATATATAGTATTATTTAAATTAATAAAAGTTCATTTAACATTAAACTATAATTTATTTTTGGGTAGTTACCTTGATTGAGTCATAATAGCAGCCTTTGGCATACCCGTCGTTCCTGATGTATAAATGTATAGCATTTGATCTTTTGAACTACCTTCAGAAATATCTTTTTCAGGGGCACTTTTTGATACTTTCCTTAGTTTATAATCGAGATTAATAGCTTTACTTATTGGCGTGTTAATCAATGCAGTGTCTTCATTGTAATTTTTTATGTATACATTCGATTTAGTGAACAGTTCATTCAATTTATCATCTGTAGTTGTATTAATAATTTCTGCTAATGCTGTAAAAATAATAATAAATAATAATAAATATATTTCTTTCGGGGTATAGGAAGTTAGAAATAAACAAAAAAATCGATTTTATCCTATTTCTTAATGTATTTTAAAATTATTTATATTATATAATCATACTACTATACTATTTGGATACAAAGGCTATAAAATTCTCAAATACCTACTGAAATAGGTAACTACTACCTACCTAATAATAACAAATAGTCAAGTAAGCATTATAATAGTGAAACTTTTATTTTCAAATTTGTTTTTCAATAAACTAAAACTGAGCTCTTCAATTTATCGTGTTCCGCAAATAGCTAGGGGTGAATTTTGTTTGAAAAATGTTTGATCATTTTGATATCTATTATTGTTTGAACAAAAAAACAAAAATCGTATTCACACCAAAACTATACTGAAATATTGTATAACTGTTAATGTAAATATCCAATTATAAGGTTCGTCATTGTTAAATAATCTACTAAACATCTCATTAGTCAATTATAACTTATAAGTTATTACTATTAACTATAATGTCGTAACTATTTAAATATAACGTCGTTACATAATATATGATAACTATGGTCGAATATCGACAGAGGTTATTAGATGACAGTTTGACTAGTTCGAAACCGAGCACTTGAGTAGTGAGTAGTGACTTTTGATAGTGTAATGTAGTATTAAAGACCTCACTAGTCACTACTCACTACTTAACGTCTTGATTCTTAAATCTTGATGAGTGATGACTAGATGACTATAATAGTATAACATCGAAATTTTTTTATTTTTTTGATTTATTTTATCTTAGTTAACCTATATTCTATAACCATTTTTCTTATCAAAAATTAAGTATAAATGATAATAAATTGGCGCCATTCTTATATTCTGATATCACGTATTCATAATTTATTTACATGTGGTTTGATAGTACTGACGTCTGACACTGAGTAGTGAGTAGTGTAATAATGTAATCTAGTGAGTAGCGAGTACCGACCACAGTTTTGACCTGCCGAGTGCTGATCGTGCTGTGCATGTTAATTCATAGAGAACTTATTCACAAACTAAACTAAAATAAACTAAAAATAGTGTTGAAAATATCCATTCAATTTAATTTTATTTGTTTAGTTGCAAGTAAGGATTTTTATCATATACTAGATACCTTTTTACACTAAAAATTTGATTTCAATAATTATATTTAAAATTTGAACTCATACTTTTCTTGATATACAGACAGATTAATCTTAAAGTTATTTTTAATTTCTCATTCTTTTATTTTATTGCTTACCAACATAAAATATAGAAAATTATGACAATGTTTACTTACCATCGATTTGTGCCTTGCCGATTATGACTGCAGAACAATTTGACACTTTTATAGAATGTGCCAATGTGTCAGCACGTAGATTATTATTAATTAAAGCTACTATAACACCAATTTTAGACAAACCAAGCCAAATGCATACATATTCTGGACAACTTTCCATGTACAAAGCAACAATATCACCTCGCTTAAGTCCTTGCTCTTTGAAATAATTGGCAATTTGGTTGCTAAGCTCTTCTACCTAAAAAAAATTGTAAGTATTTAAACTTTAATTACATTTTATTTATAATTTTCTTTAAATACATATATTAATATTAAATTAATATTTATTTTGTAAATTATATATATTATTGTGTATTTAATGCATTACTATAAATTATAAAGGTATAAAAAAAAAAAGTTGTATATTTTGGGAAAGTGTATACCTATTGATAAAGGATTTCCCATCTATTTTAAATTTAACATATATATAACAAATAATATGGAACCTAATAAAGTTATAGTACCAAAAATAATCTTAAAATATTTTGATATATTGGTGACTGGTAGTTGGCAGAATTATAAAAATCCCATATTCTTTTGTGTATGAAAAAAAAAGTTCTGTACTAATCATATCAATTATTATTTATTTATTTATTAACTCATTTAGATCCAATCTAATAATTAATGTTAGGTAGGTATTTAAACTTTTTAAAATTTATTTTACTCCTGAAAGTTTAACTTGTAAATAAACATGAGTTTCACTAAGAGTAATTATAATATTTTAAAGAAGTATTAATCAATAGATATAGCAATAAGTTCTCTTTTATAATCTGAAATATTAAATACAAAAATACAAGCATGTACACAAGGAAATTTTAAGGATTTTAAGTAAAAAAATATAGATATGTAATATTGATAACTAGATTTTTTTTTTTGTGTAAGTAATTATCATTGGTTTATTTATCTATTAATCACTGATACAAAATATAATTTTCAAAAAATATTAGTCATTAAAATAATCAACTGTTATGTATAAATTAATATTTTAATTTTTTTTTAAACTAGAACATAGTGCATTATATTAAGACAAGTTAAGCCGGTTTAGTTCATTAAATAATAATAAAATGTGTTAGTGTTAATTCATATAAATTTCTTTAAATGAGCTATGATATTTATGAACAGTAAACAAATATTAAAAATAAAATTTAAACTACAGTTACAAACCCTATGACATATAGAAATCAATTAGTAACACAAATATTGTACTAAGAATGGCACATTTTATAAGTTAATTAATAACACAAGCAAGTTGAGGTCAGGACAAAGAGTATGAAAATTTTATTATTTTAATTTAATCATTAAAGTTTATTCACATGTCTCTTCTTGAAAAAGTTAAAACTCGATGTTCCATAGATAAGGATACATATTAACAAGACGTATACTAAATTATTTACAAGACTCTTCGTGCAGTAATTGCCAACGTTCAGAGGCAGGTCATAACACCACTCATGGTCTTAGATAATAATATTTTGGAGTTGGGTCTCAACAATGCTTACCATTTTGTGTTTTACGTATTGCATTTTTGTATTCCAAATTAACATTAAATAAAGGTTTTTCTACTCTTAATACATCATGTTTTTATTTCTGTATTGATGAATGAATTGACAATTTGGGACATAATACTACTTATTTCATGTGATTCATATTAGTTATTTTTTTTTTTAGTAGATTGGACTTGATATTTAATTACTTTAAATTAATGTTGGTCATATTACTAAATTAAAGAAAAAATTACATTTTATAATAGATACATCCAATTATATTTAATATTGGTATTTAATGGATTTAGTATTTATATCCATTACATATTATGCGATTAGTACTAAGTACACATATTATATACTAAAATACATAGATAGGCATTGTTATTTATTATAATTTACAAACTTAAATTTTTGTAATCATAATTATATTTACTTCAATATATCTCCACAAAGAATTTTCGTGTTTAAATGCTATTTTGTTAGGATGTTTTTCAACATTTCTTTTAAAAATTTTAGCATAAGTGTCACATCCCAATAAATTCCATATTCTTATTTTGATAAAATACATTGAATAATCTTTGATTAATCTGAAAAAAATAAAACATATTTTTATTCATATCTACTATAATACTATCCCTTAATTCAAAGGTTCTCAACCAGAGTGGGATAGGGAGGGGTTATAAAATTATTTCAAATGTAAAACAATCATACATATTTTTCACAATTAAAAAAAATGATTTTATGAAATTATACATGATTAATGCATTAATCAATTAATTTTTTTATAAATGTAAACATAATTACAGGATATACTATTATATGGTACTTTTGGATTTTTAGAAAATACTTTAGAGTGCAGCGAGTCAAAAAAGTTTGGAAACCTTTGCCTTATTATATTATAATAATATTATAATATTATTTATTCATTAGTTCATTATCGACTAAAATTGAAGACTTGTGTTTAGTTCTATCTTCTCACTAAATGAGACATAACATTATTAATAATCTAACTAGGTAAATTTTTTTAAAGTGTTATTAATTTTATTATAATAATCAGTTTAAATTCCTAGAAATTGTTTAATAATAAACACTATTAATATTTTCATAACTAGGTAAATTGAATTATGTTAAAAATTAATTTAAGTGACTATTTTGTCAAAATATATGAAATCTAATGGTCATTATTGTTATTAGTAATATTAATGAGATAGGTATAATATTTTATATTTATAAATTTATTTCTTTATAATTGATTTGCATTAATGATTTGTATAACTATGGATATATAATTGGCAAAAATTTAAAATAAATATTGTTCATTTCATATAAATAAAATTAACAAACACATCAAAATATAAATAGGAGTAGATACATAATTGATTAGGCGCATTTATTTTGCAGAAGTTCTTTTATGAATCTTGATATTTTAATTTATAGTTTCTACCTAAATATTTAAAATTAAATAAATAAATAATGAAACTATTATTTTTTTTTTTACCAAGTAAACCAAACTGAATATATGATCATAGTTTTGTATTTTTATGAAAACAATTGTTAAAATATAGCGAGTTATCTTTTAGCTCTATAATGGCATGTTTGTATTTATGACGTTTTATTTTATAATTATTCTATGTATCTATCGAGTTTGAATTTTTTCATTTAATATTTTGGATGTGTTTTGAATCACGATTATTTTCTTATTAGTTTCCAATTCTCAAAACATAAAGGAAAATTAACAACAAATTGCAAAAAACTACATTTAAATATAGGTATTAGGTTTAGGTACATAGTTATTTAATAGGTACCTAATATTATAGTCAACCAAGCTCAGCTTGTAATCGTTCTTTGAATAAAACAATTCACTATGGTATTAAAATATTTAAATAATTATGATATCAACATTTAAAATACATTTTATACCATTGACTGACCAATATTTCGTATCGATCTGAAGTTAACCATACAATATGAAAATCACATGTTTAAATGTATACGCGTAAATATTGGTTTTTTTTTTAATACAATTATTTGGAGTTTCAGTTCTTAATAATGTTGTATGTTAGATCTGTGTAGACATACAGTGTTTTTTACTTAGTTAAATGCATAGCTTCATGATAGATTATAATGATTATATTGCTTGACACTAACGTAGGTGACATCAGTTTTTATTCTCAAGAATTGTTTTTTTTACAAATTGATTTCAACATAGTTAGATTAGGCTAGGCATTTAGCCTAGGTGTCCAATCATACACTTCTCAGTATCTTCGCCTTCCTATATCGCCTTTTAGGATAGCCATATTATAAAGTTTACATTAACTTACTCACAATTTTATCTATTCAAACTACCTATCAATTTAAATATAGTTTAATGTGTATTGTTATAGTACTTTTAAATAATTAAGTGAAATAATCAGTTTCTACAACTATGTACTCAAATAAGTAATTATTACTGTATAAAAATTGTCAAAGCTTGATTTACTATTAGAATATAAACTATAAAGTAGCTTTTAAGAAGCAGCATTGTAATTATTATGAAGTGAGAAATTGTTATTGGCATATAAAATATAAATAAAACTCTTAAGTAGTGTTCTCGGCTCCCTTTCAAATGTAGTACAAATTTGGTTCAGACAAAGTCGCAGTCCAATATAAAATCATTCCATAATTAGAAATAAGTAGAATTTAGAACTTAAAAGTTTTAAAGGCCTTTAAAGTGGGTATGCACATTTTAAACTGCTGTTGTGTTCCCTAAATAAAACATGAAGGACTATCTATGATATTTTTACATAAAACATTTATTTTTTCTTCTGCAGTATTTCTATTCTAACGTAAAAAGTATATAATTAATCATGTAAGTTACAACTATTTTTATTGTCTAGAAGTAAAAATTAAAATATAACTTAAATAATTTACTTTGGTGAAATTAATTATATTAATTATTTACATATTATCTAATACATAAACGTAATAAATTATAATATACCTAGAAGTTTAGTGTACACTGTACTTGCCAATAAAAAGTATCATATTGAACTATAATTAGGTGTTTGACATTAGTTTTTTCTACATAAATTATTGATAAACAATCAAATCACTCTGTATAATTTACAGGTCACAGCCATATGAATTTAGTCCTTGATTGTTAAATAGACACATCATAACAAAATAAGGTAGCTACTTTAATAATTGAACAGTCCCTACAACGTAGTGCATCATTATGTTTAAATAAATATATTAGGTATTAAAATCCTTGCTATAGTATAAATATATGTTATTATTTTATAATTTAAAATTATTATCTTACGTAATTAAATAAATAATTCTAATTCAAAGAAATAATACTTATAATCTAGGTACATAATGTTAAAATGATATATATTACTATAAAATATTTTACTAATAAAATTATAGAATTTATCAACTGTTCAAAAATTTTCAGACATTTTGATATAATGAATTTATCATAAGCCAAATGCCTAGGAATTTATAAATAATTTGACAAGGACGATAATAATAATTTATTTATATACACTTCACCAAGCAATGAACATTATTTAATCTTCGTATTTTTTGCATGAAAAACTTAAGATTTCCGAAATATTATTCGACATCTAAATCAAAAAATCAAATGATGTAATTTAAAAACTAAAAAACAAAACTAAACGTCATCGTATCCCTTCGAAAGAGTACTTAAGAAATTCGATTATCGTGTACACGCTTAAACTAATAT